TGTGATGTGCTGGATGTTCGTGGTTCATATTTTTATATTTTTCATGTTATGACACATGTGGATCCGGTAGCTTGCTGTCTGTGGTGTTCAGCCTGTGGCTGTTTTTTCTTTTTCTTTTTGGTGTGGGTGAATGTTTCTGTGCCGAATGCTGATTCTGTGTTTTTTTTTCTTCGTTATTTCTTGTTCCTCGCCCAGTTTAAATGCTGTTATTACAATCTGCTACATAAACCATGCCAAAACAGAAACCAAATCTTTCAGAAACTATTGTGCAACCTGAGAATTTTTGTATCATTATGAATTTAAAATCAGTCAAGTTTTGAACAGTTTTCTCTTTCATTGGAAAGCATTTCCATTTTTTTTTTTTTGGAACTGACAAAGTAATGCAAGTATGTCCCAAGAGAATTAAACTCTGCTTGGACACATATATTTATTCAACTAAATTTGTGTACACAAAATTAGGTAATTATTTAAAAAAATAATAGACTCTCTGTATTTTTTTTAATAGCTGGCCATCAAAAATTTACAACAGTATATTATGCTTTAATGACTCCTTAAGATGAAAACAAACATTTAAATAAACTGTATGTAAGTTTTTTTACCTTGAAATGTCTGTTCTGGGAGTTTGGTGAGTGGATACGAAATTCCGCCGAAAAGGATGGATTACTTTACGACAGTAACAAATGAACATGTAAGGCTATAATTATGACAGTGAATTTCACCCACTTAATGGTAGTGGGCTCCAAACTGGGAAAATACACAAAACTACATACAGATGCTTTAAAGATGAAGTGTGTAATTTCTTTGCCTCTAGTAGCAACCAAAGGAATTGCAAAAATAATAAATAATAAATCCCTGGGTACTATATCAAATGCCAATGAGTTGGATGCCCAAATGTCCAGAATATATTAAATAGTTTGTGGGGGAAAAAAACCTGAATAACATACTGCATTCACAGAAATTCTTAAAGGGGTCATATGATGCTGCTAAAAAGAACATTATTTTGTGTATTTGGTGTAATGAAATGTGTTTATGCTGTTTAATGTTCAAAAAACATTATTTTCCACATACTGTACATTATTGTTTCTCCTCTATGCCCCGCCTTTCTGAAACATGTCGATTTTTACAAAGCTCATCGGTCTGAAAAAGCGAGGTGTTCTCTGATTGGCCAGCTATCCAGTGCGTTGGGATTGGCCGAATACCTCAAGCATGTGACGGAAATGTTACGCCCCTACCATTATACTGTGATGCCCTGTCAGGCCGAAGCGACGAGACAAAAACCTTAAAAGCCATTATAAACGAGGCATTTGTTGCATCCAGTGGGGACATAATTACGGATTATAATGACTTATACTGTCTTTTTACGCGTTGCGTTGCATCGTGCCGCGTAAACATAAAACCATGTCTGCATTTGTGATCGGAGAAATGACAAACAACAAG